ACATCAGCACACACATCAGCACACACATCAGCACACACATCAGCACACACATCAGCACACACATCAGCACATACATCAGCACATACATCAGCACATACTGTAGTCATTTGTGTTATCAATACGTCCAGAAATCACCGGTTTGTAGTGCTTGACATTGCAGGAATTTCTGCGCTTTTGACATCAGAAAGGATGAAATGACAAAACTTGATGAAATCTTTCCTAAAGTTTGGGCAAACAGCAACAGCACAGAGCAGATGGTTCATCAGTTTCAGACCGCCCTCAGAGATACCCTCTCTTTGCGATGACTAACTTGGTTTGTAGCTCTTGGCCTTCGCGGAAACTCGTGCTATAAAATCTAAGAAGCTTAGTTTGTTTTGAAACGTTTCCTGATCAAATATTTGTTTTCAGAGGACGGTCGAACGAGTTTCGATAATCTACTCTGAGTTCCGTGGGACATCAGTCGAACGATGACTGTACAACTTGTTTAGTAAATGTCTTTCTCCATATTGGAGTTTTGCATTTCAGATTTGAACATAACATTTGGAAACCAAAAGCAATTTGTCTGATATTCATTTTAGATAAGTCCATTGAATGGTTTTGCTCTATATGATGCATTAAAAAACAACCCATACATTTTCAACCCTGTCGACATTTGCATAGCATGGTGAACCAGTACCAGTTCGCACGAGGCCTACCACGAAAAGTTGCAACATTTGCGCCATATTGCAAGCTACAGCAGCCTAATAAGTCAATAGAGGTCTGCTAATATTATTTTACCCAAATTTTGTTTGCCTACTGAGATCATAGTTACTTTAATAAAGAGCACAGAGCTTTCTATGTTGAACATTACCTCTCCATAAACTCACCACCCCTGACATTTCGTAAGTTCTGTGCGCGGCATGGAAAGAATGCTTAGCTGCCCTCAAGACCTTTGGCGTCTTGAGTAGAGAAGTTCCGTCAGTTTGGATCTGTAGCGAATCAGAACTAAAAGTGTCCTTTAAAATGACCACTTCAGGTCGAACACACACCATGCACAGTCCTGTAAACGTCACCAGGGTGCAGATTTCAGTAGTCGAGTCCCATGAGACGTCTGTCCGTAGACGATCTGCAGCTAGGACTTTCCTACATCTCAACAGTCTGCATTCTCAAGGCAGATCTTAACCTACAACTGTACCATTTTCATCTCCGCTAGGCCGAGATGACATAGATCAGAGCATGGCAATGTGTTCATGATTCCTCGATTGTCTTGAAAAGCGGGATCATTTCCTCGATGACATTTGGTTCAGTGCAAAGTCCATTTTTATCTTGCGGTATGTGTTAACTCCAAAAAGGCTGGCTTCTGGGCACCCCACTCCCTGTTGTCTCCAGAAGCCACTTCGTAATGAATATTATGTACAGTGTAAGTGGCTTTAAACACTCATGTTTTAGCAGGTCCTTGTGTTAGGGCGCTTTGAACATTTCGAACGACGCGTTAAAAATGTGTTTGAGTCCAAAGGAGGACATGTAGAGCACTGCTTTTAGGGATTTCAGAACGAAAACGTTAGTTGTTTGGGGTTTTTTTTCTCTGTTTAAACAAATTTAATATTGTTTAAACGCCATAGTGATGGACAATTAAATGCCAAGGAGAAAAAAAAAGTCAACCAATTTTTTCACGACTTCCTTTACCAGATTTTTAAAATCGGTGAACTTTGCGTTTTTTGGTGCTTTTTTCTTTAAGCCATTTTCTTTTTCAAAATAAGTTACTTCTTTGTGGATTTTATGTCAAACAGATTCCTTTTGAATGAATTATGTCGATTCCAAATTACAGCATTTTAGGACAATTTTTGTGCGAGATATTCAGAAAAAAAAGTACAGTTGTTTTTGTTTTTTTATCAGCTTGTAGTTCTGGGATAGGGAAAAAAACAGTTCTTGTGGATATGTTGGAAAGTAACTTCCAGAGAACGTGCAACTGTTAGAGAATTATTGCCCGGCTATTACAAGCTCGAAAACATTTCGAGGCTTAAGCTCAAAGATAAATTGGATTGAATTTTCTCCGCAGGAAATGTTAGTTGCTTAACACAAAGACCAGAACCTTTGTCCTTTGATCAGGGCATGAACCATCACTGTGGGCAAAAAGAACAAACAGCTGGGGTCTGCAAACGTCAAAGTAGAGCAGACTTCGGGGAAAGGAAGAACTGGGCATTGCGCATCAGGGGACAGCACTGGGTAGAACATCGCGGACGATTCAGACATTCGAGTTGTCTAACGTGTTCTGACAGGCTCGGGCAACGTAAGGGGACATCATAGAGTCACAAGACGTGTACATCTATGGAGAACATGCGGGTCATATAGGCCTACCTAAATCTTATGACATCCTGTTTTGGCCGACTTTAATGGTATCAGTACGTTCGTTAAGGGCAAGATGTGATGATGTGCCGTTTGCTTTCTGTCACATATTGTGGTTTTTTCCCCCTGATGTAGAAAATGGGTAAGGCTGAAAACCGAGGAAATTCAGAAACTTGTCGAAATTGAGGAAAACAAGCAATGAACGGAGTACTTTCTTAAATATTTGTCTAAATAAGATGGTCCATGAGCTTTTGTTGTGGAGAACTCTTGTTTTACTCGGAATGTTTTTCTTTTCAAAATAAGAATGGTATTTTGTAAGACTTTTCTGTGTTGATTTTTGTTTGTTTGTTAATTATACAAATATTATGTTATATTATATTGCCTCTAGAAGATGTTGAATCCTTCTGCTATCTTGGGAGTTTAATTGACAGAGAGGGGAAAATACAGGTGCTGAAATAAAGTCCTGCATTGGAAAAGCACAGGCTGCTTTCATATCTTTGGATAAGATTTGGAAGACCAGAGATATCTCACTTCGAACAAAGCTGAGGATTTTCAATTCAAATGTGTAGTCAGTCCTGTTGTAAATCTATGGATATGAGACATGGAACGCATCACAGACTTGCCTGAAAAGGATCCAAGTGTTCTCGAACAAGTGTCTTATTAGTTATATTTACTATAGGATCAGATGGAAAGACAGGGTCACCAACGAGGAAGTGTTCAGGAAAACAAGACAGATCCCCGTCAGAGATGAGGTCGGAAGAAGGCGGTGACGATGGACTAGACATATCCTCAGGAAGTCAGGTAGCTGCATAACAAAGAAAGTGTTGGATCGGAATCCACAGGGTATGAGATCAAGGGGAAGACCGCGTGGAACCTGGAGAAGAATCACAGAAATTTAAGTACAGAAAAGTGGGAAGACATGAAATTGGAAAAACATCAAGAGGCTAGCCCAGGATAGAGAAAGGTGTAAAGTGTTTGTTCGTGGCCTATACCCTGGTGCAGGGTGAGAAAGTGTTTGTTCGTGGCCTATACCCTGGTGCAGGGTGAGAAAGTGTTTGTCCGTGGCCTATACCCTGGTGCAGGGTGAGAAAGTGTTTGTCCGTGGCCTATACCCTGGTGCAGGGTGAGAAAGTGTTAGTCCGTGGCCTATACCCTGGTGCAGGGTGAGAAAGGCAATGATAATCATATTGCCTCCTATAAAACAATAAAATAGTATTATAATACATGTTAATTTATAAGACAAATCGCCGAATTTGAGCCACACCTTCTTTGGCCGACCGGAGAACCTGGTCCTGGCAACCCTTGTCCCACAACTTCAATAAAGCAGCAACTTGTGACCGGCACCACACACCATACCTCGATAATAAATAACAACAAACGAAAGGAAAGTTGTCTACGCCTCCACCGTTCACGACTGTGTCCTGTAAGTTGAACGGAATGAAAGATATCCCGATTGCCTGCTGTTTATTTAATGAATATTATTATGATGAGTTCTGTACTAAGTACTTTGCATTTTTCTGTATTTGTGCTAATGATGGGTGTCGACTCTTGTGGTCTAAATTTACTCTTGCCTTGACGCCTGGTCGGGGAGTCGAGGTACCTGAAAGTGAAAGGGTCCCTGTGTTGATCGTCTTCTCTTACTTTATCTGCACATTAACCTCTAGATATATCTAATTTGCATCATGTCTGATGATAGATCTAATGTGTGTAATATTGACAGATCTAGTCTAATAGTAGAAAGCCTACAGTCGGGCACGGAAACTGAAACGAAGTGACTACGTTCACTGTGCCCTGAATCATCCACCACATTATTATTGGCACAGAGACACGACTGGAATGCTACGCTCGCTGAAAGTGAATGAGGAAACCGCACAGGAATACCCACTTGAAAATAAGGCTGCAGTGGTCCGAATGCAACAGAGTTTACGGAGGGTGAAAGCAGGCACAGCAAAACCGCCGCGGTCGCCAAGGCCTCGCTTGCTCAGCGCAGGGAGCACGACTTCCATCTTCTTCCTGTGTGCGGACCCGGCAACGCTCGACAATTTGAAAATAAAAATCGTTGAAAGAAACAAGGGAGAATGGAAGAAGGCCAAGGCTGGAAGAGGGGTGGGAAGGGGGGGGGGGAAAGAAGTGAAAGGGAAAAGAATCCAGCCCATGGACCATATTGAGTTTCTTCAGCTTAGTTTTCCTCCTGTTGTTATGTACTGCAAGTGTAGGTTCTGGTGATGAGTGTGAGGAGAGAAAAAACAACAGGCCTTTTATCACCGCCAGAGTTGCCATTCAACTGTTTTGGCAGTGTTTCATGGTAGTTAAGGATGGTCCGACTTGTTGAGTCTGGCTCTACCTTTGCATCTCTGGTTTGATTTCTGTTTTCAAAATGGTTGCTAACCGTTATTTCCTAGAAGCATATTAAATAACAATGGGTCTTCATAAATCTCATTCTATCTTTTTGTATGGATTCTTTTCAGCTGTTCAGGGAAATAACGAGAGCCAACTCTGGTAGGTTACTTCTGTGCTGAGTGAAAGCTGTGCGTCTTGACCTTGACCTCTGCCACTGATGGGGAAGACGAGCAAGATCCTCCTGTGTGGGCGGTCTGGGGTGGGCAAGACAGCCGTCCTGGAGCAACTCCTCTATGGCAACCACATCGTGGAGGCGGTGAGAACCTGTTTGGTCAAGTGTTGACTGACTTACGTGTTTTGTGACATGGCGTTAGTGTAAACTAACGTACACTCACCATCTCAGTGTCAGAACGTGTTTGATCAAGTGGCGTCACTGTTAACTAACGTACACTTACCATCTCAGTGTCAGAATGTGTTTGATCAAGTGGCGTCACTGTAAACTAACGTACACTCACCATCTCAGTGTCAGAATGTGTTTGATCAAGTGGTAAACTAACGTACACTTACCATCTCAGTGTCAGAATGTGTTTGATCAAGTGGTAAACTAACGTACACTTACCATCTCAGTGTCAGAATGTGTTTGATCAAGTGGTAAACTAACGTACACTTACCATCTCAGTGTCAGAATGTGTTTGATCAAGTGGTAAACTAACGTACACTCACCATCTCAGTGTCAGAATGTGTTTGATCAAGTGGTAAACTAACGTACACTCACCATCTCAGTGTCAGAATGTGTTTGATCAAGTGGTAAACTAACGTACACTCACCATCTCAGTGTCAGAATGTGTTTGATCAAGTGGTAAACTAACGTACACTCACCATCTCAGTGTCAGAATGTGTTTGATCAAGTGGTAAACTAACGTACACTCACCATCTCAGTGTCAGAACGTGTTTGATCAAGTGGTAAACTAACGTACACTCACCATCTCAGTGTCAGAACGTGTTTGATCAAGTGGTAAACTAACGTACACTCACCATCTCAGTGTCAGAATGTGTTTGATCAAGTGGTAAACTAACGTACACTCACCATCTCAGTGTCAGAATGTGTTTGATCAAGTGGTAAACTAACGTACACTCACCATCTCAGTGTCAGAATGTGTTTGATCAAGTGGTAAACTAACGTACACTCACCATCTCAGTGTCAGAATGTGTTTGATCAAGTGGTAAACTAACGTACACTCACCATCTCAGTGTCAGCACATTTCATGCCTTAAGTCCTTTTTTTTTTTTGGTGGAATTTTGCATTAGTAAACATGGAATTTTGCTAACTTTCATACAAAGAAATGTTGAATACACAGCGAATTTCTGCTGTATAAAAGATGTCAAATTATTTTTGAAGTTCTTCTTTAGATGTGTTTAGTATTGCCGTAAAAATACAAAAGATTGATTGTTTTGTCTGATGTTTTGTAAAGGCTACGATGAGCGTTAGATGCAATGTTAGTAGTCTTGAGTTGTGTGCTTCAGAAAAAAAAACCATATGCAGTACTTAAATGTGCTTGTAGATATTAAATGTTCATCATTCTACAACGTGAAAAGAATTTTATAAAATCAAACTTAAGTCTTTTAACACTTATGATTACAAATTCACTTTTCCTTTTTTTTTTAAATCGAAAGGAAAATGTGAAGCATTTTCTTGTTACAATGTTGAACTTCTTAAACACATGAGTTGAGTCGCATAAATGAATTCTCCGACTGAACATGTCAGTAGACTGGTTTGTAAAGAAATCCTCAATTGATCTTATTTTGACTCCGTCTTTCAATCTTGAAATGTCCTTTCCACAGCCCACTCATTCCACATTGGAAGACATCTACACCGCAGTGATTGAGACAGACCGGGGGGTCAAAGAAAAGGTTCGAATATTTGATGTTGGAATGCCGGTGAGTCTTCAATGCATTTAGAATTCACAAACTTAGGATTACTTCATTTGACTAGATTGGGTTTCATTTGAAAAATTAGGCTTTCCTTATATTTGCTTATAAAATATAACACCTGTCGTTCTTTTGAATAAGTAATTTCACTATGTTCAATCTTTCAAGTTTGCTGTTTCATGGGTTTCTTTTTGGTTTTTAAAAATTCTATCCAGTCATATGGAGTTCTTGATTTGTTAAAGTGGATCGATAAATGTTGAAGTGGTGTTTCTTTCCTTTTGCTTCAACCAAAAAATGAATTTTCTTCAACTGAATGTATTTTGCTTTCAAACTTTGCTACTATTTAGCACGCTGCTGCAAATTCTGTTCAGTTGTTTCAGGAAAAGAGAATTTTCATCCTAACCACCTAACGGTTTGAACTAAAGTCTATCCTTGATTTGTCATCATTGTTCTGGTGATACCTTTTCTGCACTGTACTGTTGTTTTTTTCTTCTAATCAGAGCTTTTATTTGAAGTCTTCAAAGTTTGTAAATTTATATGATATGGGATTTCTGAAGTTTGATTCGTTTGGCTCAAAAAGGGAGCCTTGAAATAGATTTCGACACATGTGAGGCTTTGTGGTGAAATCTTTTATCAAAAGAGAACAAGACAAATGAACATGCTTTAAGAGGATACCAATAACCTCATATATGCCCTAAGCATGATTCCAGCATGTCATGACACGTACAGTATTTTGTTTGTTCTCTCCCCCTTCTTCTGTGTCATGACACATACAGTATTTATCTGTTCTGTCCCCCTTCTTCTGTGTCATGACACATACAGTATTTATCTGTTCTGTCCCCCTTCTTCTGTGTCATGACACATACAGTATTTATCTGTTCTCTCCCCTTCTTCTGTGTCATGACACATACAGTATTTATCTGTTCTGTCCCCCTTCTTCTGTGTCATGACACATACAGTATTTATCTGTTCTGTCCCCCTTCTTCTGTGTCATGACACATACAGTATTTATCTGTTCTGTCCCCCTTCTTCTGTGTCATGACACATACAGTATTTATCTGTTCTCTCCCCCTTCTTCTGTGTCATGACACATACAGTATTTATCTGTTCTCTCCCCCTTCTTCTGTGTCATGACACATACAGTATTTATCTGTTCTGTCCCCCTTCTTCTGTGTCATGACACATACAGTATTTATATGTTCTCTCCCCCTTCTTCTGTGTCATGACACATACAGTATTTATCTGTTCTGTCCCCCTTCTTCTGTGTCATGACACATCCTTCTTCTGTGTCATGACACATACAGTATTCCCCTTCTTCTGTGTCATGACACATACAGTGTCCCCATTCTTCTGTGTCATGACACATACAGTATTTATCTGTTCTGTCCCCCTGCAGGAAGGAAAGGACACAGAGTTGCCTCGCCACTACCTCAACTTCCCAGACGTAAGTTGTGTTGCCATGGTTACTGGTCGTCTTGGGTCGGGCCGTTCTACTACAGTTTTTGTCCTATTGTTTTGTTGGGTAAAATGAGCCTTCACATTTTCGCAAAAGGGATAAAATTTGACATCTATACTAGTTGCGTATGGTACTGTAGCCAGTGAATTTTGCTATATATTTTTATCAGTCTTTACCCTACAGGCAGTCAAAAGAGACTAAACGACTTGCAGAATTATGCTCGATTTTCTATAGAGGACGCCTACTGCCCTCTAACTGTTGAACTAAGAAATGTTTCAATGAATGTATGACCTTTACAACAACTTTGTTCCTGTAAAGTGTTTACACTCTCCATTCACTTCCTCACAGCTTGTTAATACAGGATTGAAATATTGCTGTCTCTCTCTCATAATTAGACGGACTATAGTTAATAATAATATTAATGTTCATTATTTTAACACGTTTCTAAATTCTTCTGTTGTAAAAAAACCCTGACTATGTGTCCCAGGAAGATATCTGTATAGAAATAGAAATGTGATTTTATGTAACCTGTGTTTCCATTGATCTTGTTTCGACCAATCGTCCTTTTTTTACATTTCGTTTTGATCCAGGGTTTCATTCTAGTGTATGACGTCACAAGCTTTGAGTCGTTCAAACTTCTGGACCGACTGAAGAAAGACATGGACAAACACAAGGACAAAAGAGAGGTGAGACCATGGCTCTCACTTTGTTTGACCATTTAACAAAATTTTTGTTTTGTTTGTTGGGGGGATTGATTTAAGGGTGTTTTTTTGTTGTTGTTGTTGTTGTTGTTGTTGTTGTTGTGGGGTTTTTTGTATGCCTGGGGTACAGCCCATTCAACATTGTAAGCGGGTGGTTGGCGGTTACTCTGGTGTGGTTTGCTCCTTCTTTCCTGTCAAACATCTATCTTCCTTATCTCTCCTCCTTCTTTCCTATCAAACATCTATCTTCCTTATCTCTCCTCCTTCTTTCCTATCAAACATCTATCTTCCTTATCTCTCCTCCTTTTTTTGTGTTTGTTACTCTCTTGTAACACTTCTATTCTTCGGCACTTATATGACTTTATTGTGATGCAAATGCCATAAAACTCTTACTAAAACTAAAAACAACATTGTAAGGTTATTTAAAAGATGGAGCCTATGGTGACACACATGTGTCTGATTAGAAGGAGGCGTGTGAGTTGAGAGTCATCGTCTGAGATTGTGTGAAACTGTGTAGGTGTACGCCCGGTGCAACTCCATAAGGCGATTTAAGATACAGGACCTCCGGACTTAATGTCTATCTTCAATAGGACTTAACCTTTGCCGTCACAAGGCTCATATAGCAAAAACGCTTGCCATCAAAGGCAAAGGCATTTTGGGGAAAATCCCAAGAAACTGAGTGGTAAAAACGCAGATCTGCGAGATGTGACGGCAAAATGTTAAACAACTGGGAAAGTCCATGTACAGTACCCTTCCTTCCAACACAATGTCTGGCGGAGTTGAGTGTGAATCCCACAATGAGGAAACCTCCTTACGACTACAAGTCTGGTCGTCTGGTCGTCTAAGCACGAGAGAACAGACACAGTGAAAACACTTCCAACAGCTGCAGCCTAGGGGGATTTCACAGTAGCCTCGTGTTACATGTGTCTTGTAGTGTCTTCCTTTTTGTTGCTTTGTCTTCTGCCTTGGGGTTTTGGGGGGGTTTTGGGGGGGGGGGGATTGGTTTGTTTTTTGCTCAGTGGCAGATACCAATTATGTCATGGCTTCTTTTTTTTATCCTGACAACGGATTTGTTGACAGGGTCATATCGTTGTCATTGGCAACAAGAGTGAGCTGACGGAGAGAAGAGAGGTCCAGTTTCAGACGGCCATGGCCTGGGCCTCCAAGGAAAAAGGTTTGTTACTGTAGCGACCTGCTCTGTTCATACCTGTATGTTTGTAGCAGCCTACTTGTCTTTGTGGGCGCCGTTGTCTACATGTCTGTTTGTAGCTGCTTGTCTTTCTCTCTCTCTCTCTCTCTCTCTTCTGGCGCTGTGGCTTCATAAGCGGTCAGCGATGCCGACAGCACGCAGGAACTCAACACTCGCCCGGGGGTCCTTAAAAAGTGCTGAAAGTGGGTTACTGAAATGTCCCAGCAGACGGGTTCTAGCACGATAGCTGGCGGGACACCTCAGGAACACATGGTCCATAGTTTCGTCCTCCTCCTTGCAGGCTCGACAGGACGGATCTGGGTTGTCTGCTGGCGCAATTTTGTGGAGATATGATCTCAGCTGATGTGTTCTGTTTCTACTGCTGTCCTTCCGTGTATAGAACGAAAGTGAAAGTTTTTCTGCTTGTCTTTGTGGGCGCCGTTGTCTGTTCATACATATATGTGTTCTCCAGCTGGCTTGATTGTCTTGTCCAATACTTGAAATGAACAACATACACATATGTCCATAGACAACAGTGCTCACCTAGGCAGGCAGGTAGTTCTGTGTGGACTGTTGTGTGGTGTGCTCCTTCTATTTCTTGTTAATGTCAGAACTATCTTTATTTGTTCCTGGCAAACTATGGTCATTCTCAGATTGACTCACCATTTAATACTGCTCAGCAGCAGTTCATACCTCCTTCCTCTGTCTTTTACCCTTATTCCTCTCTGGTTCTCTCATTCCTCTATCCCTTGTTTCTCACTTTGGGCCCTAAAATCTGGGACTCCTTGCCCCAGGAACTAAAAAAACCCTCAAATCTTAATACGTTCAAGCGATTGCTCAAGACTCATTTGTTTAATTCTTGCTTATAGTGTGTTAGTAAGTGCTGATGTGTTCTGTTTCTACTGCTGTCCTTCCGTGTATAGAACGAAAGTGAAAGTTTTTCTTTTTGTGGTTGATCTAGGGGGGGGGGGGGGGGGGGGGGGTGTTTGTGACTGAAATATTTTTATCTTGGGTGAATGGCTCAGCAATCATGTCATTGGTGTAAAGAGCTGAGAGCTTAGCTCAGTAATTATGTCATGGTGTAAAGAGCTGAGAGCTTAGCTCAGTAATCATGTCATTGGTGCAAAGAGCTGAGAGCTTAGCTCAGTAATCATGTCATTGATCCAAAGAGCTGAGAGCTTAGCTCAGTAATCATGTCATTGGTGTAAAGAGCTGAGAGCTTAGCTCAGTAATCATGTCGTTGATGTAAAGAGCTGAGAGCTTGGCTCAGCTCAGTAATCATGTCGTTGATGTAAAGAGCTGAGAGCTTAGCTCAGTAATCATGTCATTGATGGAAAGAGCTGAGAGCTTATACCAGTACGGGACAGAGCGCTGAGAGCTTACACCAGTACGGGACAGAGCGCTGAGAGCTTACACCAGAACGGGACAGAGCGCTGAGAGCTTACACCAGTACGGGACAGAGCGCTGAGAGCTTACACCAGTACGGGACAGAGCGCTGAGAGCTTACACCAGTACGGGACAGAGCGCTGAGAGCTTACACCAGTACGGGACAGAGCGCTGAGAGCTTACACCAGTACGGGACAGAGCGCTGAGAGCTTACACCAGTACGGGACAGAGCGCTGAGAGCTTACACCAGTACGGGACAGAGCGCTGAGAGCTTACACCAGTACGGGACAGAGCGCTGAGAGCTTACACCAGTACGGGACAGAGCGCTGAGAGCTTACACCAGTACGGGACAGAGCGCTGAGAGCTTACACCAGTACGGGACAGAGCGCTGAGAGCTTACACCAGTACGGGACAGAGCGCTGAGAGCTTACACCAGTACGGGACAGAGCGCTGAGAGCTTACACCAGTACGGGACAGAGCGCTGAGAGCTTACACCAGTACGGGACAGAGCGCTGAGAGCTTACACCAGTACGGGACAGAGCGCTGAGAGCTTACACCAGTACGGGACAGAGCGCTGAGAGCTTACACCAGTACGGGACAGAGCGCTGAGAGCTTACACCAGTACGGGACAGAGCGCTGAGAGCTTACACCAGTACGGGACAGAGCGCTGAGAGCTTACACCAGTACGGGACAGAGCGCTCTGTTGTTTTTTTTTGCCTTGTCTCTCCTGCTGTCCCCGTCTCTTCTTTTCTGTCCATCCCTGTGTATCTGTCCATCCCTGTGTATCTGTCCATCCCTGTGTATCTGTCCATCCCTGTGTATCTGTCCATCCCTGTGTATCTGTCCATCCCTGTGTATCTGTTTATCCCTGTGTATCTGTTCCTCCCTGTGTGTCTGTTTATCCCTGTGTATCTGTTTATCCCTGTGTATCTGTTCCTCCCTGTGTATCTGTTTATTCCTGTGTATCTGTTTATCCCTTTATCTCTTTCTCTTCTTCTGCCCCTACCTCTCCCTCCCCCTCCTGAAAAGTTGGTCCAAAACGTTCCTCTTCTCATCCTTCTTGCAACATTTCTCACCTCACCCAGTGTCCTGTCGTGGTCCGGTGTCCTGTCGTGGTCCGGTGTCCTGTCGGGGTCCCGGTCCTGAAGCTTTGAAATGATCTGATTCTATTCTGTCTAAAGGAGTTTTACACTTCAGAAAAACCAATGTCTTTTCCCAGTTCGTCTTTGGGAAGTGTCGGTGCCCAACAGGAAGTCCCTTGTAGAACCGTTTGTGTGGCTCACCTCCAAGATCACCCAGCCCACAGGTACGTTGTTCACACACTTACGTACGTTGTGCTCACACTTAGGTACATTGACACACTTAGGTACATTGACACACTTAGGTACGTTGACACACTTAGGTACGTTGACACACTTAGGTACATTGACACACTTAGGTACATTGACACACTTAGGTACATTGACACACTTAGGTACGTTGACACACTTAGGTACATTGACACACTTAGGTACATTGACACACTTAGGTACATTGACACACTTAGGTACATTGACACACTTAGGTACGTTGACACACTTAGGTACGTTGACACACTTAGGTACATTGACACACTTAGGTACATTGACACACTTAGGTACGTTGACACACTTAGGTACGTTGACACACAGTGGCTGCGTTGTGGAGGTTGTGCTCACATCTATGCACACCCTCATAGCCCGTTGTGCTCACATCTATGCACATCCTCATAGCCCGTTGTGCTCACATCTATGCACACCCTCATAGCCCGTTGTGCTCACATCTATGCACACCCTCATAGCCCGTTGTGCTCACATCAATGCACACCCTCATAGCCCGTTGTGCTCACATCTATGCACACCCTCATAGCCCGTTGTGCTCACATCTATGCACACCCTCATAGCCCCTGGTGCTGCTTCTTCTCTCTTGCTAAACACAAGTTGATGGACAAAGAGTGTTGGTACTGTTCCTTACTGGTCGTTACTGCTTGTTACTGTTCGTTACTGCTCGTTACTGTTCCTTACTGTTCCTTACTGCTCATTACTGTTCATTACTGGTCATTACTGCTCGTTACTGCTCGTTACTGTTCGTTACTGGTCATTACTGTTCGTTACTGCTCGTTACTGTTCGTTACTGCTCGTTACTGTTCATGGATGTTTGAGTTGAGTGTCAGGTACAGGGTGTTCATTAACCAGGTTGATGGTGGCTGTTGGTATTTTATTATTTCCCACGTACCGGTACAGATTTTCTTCCTAGTAGCCTGCCTCTTAACCCTACCCGTACGCCGTGGGGTCATTTGGTACCCCCGGGGTTGTATTCTTCACATTTTACAATACTTCTAGTAGGAAAATCTCTTTGAAACTTTCAGTATTTCTCAAAAAGTCATTTTGACAGACTGCTGTGCAAAGCGTACGGATTAACGAGTTAATTTTCCCTTTGGAAAGTGGTGGCACAGAGTTCCCCAAGTCGTATGGATACAATAGTAAAACATGTCGTACGGATAGGGTTAAATAGATTCAGGAAAGTGTTCCTTACAAGATGTTTCTGTTTTCTGTTGATGCTGCTTGTTTTTTCTGTACTTTAATTGAGCGTTATCTTTCTCTTCGTTTTCTGCAGAACATTTGCATGCCTATGTTAGAGAACAAATACTTCTTTGTTTCTGTCTATATTAGAGAACAAATACTTCTTTGTTTCTGTCTATATTAGAGAACAAATACTTCTTTGTTTCTGTCTTTGCATGCCTATATTAGAGAACAAATACTTCTTCCAGTGGTAGTCTAGACTTTGTTATCAATGAGTTTGTTATCAATGAGTTTCTTTACCTTTGATAACCATTTTCTCCAGACAATAGTTGAAGATTTTCATAAATAACACGCTGAATAGCCAACTGAATGGCTTCTGGGTGTTACTTTGAAATTACAAACAGATGTTTTTGTCTCCATCGATGTTTTATGTCAGGCTTTCGTAAAGGTGAAAAGTGAAGTCTGGTTTTGTCATACATTATGTAGAACAAAGTGCATGTAACTGCTGGTCACTGCAATGACTCATCACTCATCACTCATCACTCATCATTCATGACTCATCACTCATCACTCATCACTCATCTCTCATCACTCATCACTCATCAATCATCAATCATCACTCATCACTCATCACTCATCACTCATCATTCATCACTCATCACTCATCACTTATCACTCATCACTCATCTCTCATCACTCATCTCTCATCACTCATCACTCATCACTCATCACTCATCACTCATCTCTCATCACTCATCACTCATCACTCATCTCTCATGACTTGCTCTTGTTCTTTCTCTGCAGGTAAAAGCAACTTCCTCCCCGGTCGTAAGACGAAGTCGTCTGCCAGTGGGAACCTGGACACCAGCTGATGGGGGAATGTTGTTCCGGAGCTTGTGTCTCGTCTGAGGTCACGTGATACAACAGTGGGAGTGTCTGGTCTGACGTCACGTGATACAACAATGGGAGTGTCTGGTCTGACGTCACGTGATACAACAGTGGGAGTGTCTGGTCTGACGTCACGTGATACAACAGTGGGAGTGTCTGGTCTGACGTCACGTGATACAACAGTGGGAGTGTCTGGTCTGACGTCACGTGATACAACAGTGGGAGTGTCTGGTCTGAGGTCACGTGATACAACAGTGGGAGTGTCTGGTCTGACGTCACGTGATACAACAGTGGGAGTGTCTGGTCTGACGTCACGTGATACAACAGTGGGAACCTGGACACCAGCTGATGGGAGAATGATGTCGTTGATGGGTCTGGTCGTGTGCACGCTTGTGTCTCGTCTGGATTTTTGGAACTATGTGGCTCACCTAACTTGTTGGATTTTGTATTTTATCAGTTTTAGGGCTAATCTATGAATGTGATGCTGTGGGGGTTTTGTTGATAAAAGGGCTTTGTTATTACCACATCATAAGACTGTCTTGTCTCGGGTCTTGTACACAGAACCAAACGTAAATCCTAACTCTGAACGTTGTTTTGTCTGTGGCAGGCTATATCGGAAATGTCATTGTCAATGTCTCTGTGGGTTTTATTGGGACTCCAGTAGCTGCAGTGTCACCTGAAAACTTAGAAGAGCAGAATGTTCAAGGTTTATTTGGATTCTATGGTGGTGCTCCAGAAATATAAAACATTTGTAATCTGTTTGCAGAAGAAAGAAAGAAGGTTTAGGTGGCTACACTAGACTTTTTTCCCTTCAGCATTTACAACGATTAAGTTTGCCTCCTGTCTTTTACAGTTTGCTCATGTTCTTAGTCCAATTTTATATCTTACATTCAGTGTGTGCTATTAATACAGATTTTTTACTAGGATCCAATCATATTGTAAACTCTACTAGACACCGTCGTGGGTTCTTTGTTTTCTCATTGGTCGAGCCACAAGATTGGAGATCTCTCGCCCAGGATGTTCTTGACTGTCTCTCACTTAGAATGGTAGAGTTTTGATCGTTTATTCTTTGTTCATCTTTACAACAATTAACAAAAGGCTATTTTTCAGTTTTATCCACGTTACCAATGTACCCGCTCATTTTTGTTATGTTTTCATTTTTGGTCTGAAGGCCGACGTGATTCTGATATTACATCTTGATACCTCCTTATGTTGTCTTTACTGTAGCTGAGACCCGCGGATCATTTCCCCGATGGCGAAGCTAATGCTTTGTGTACAATGAACAGTTTGATTGATTGCTCACAGCAAAGATATTTCAGTAGTCTCATGTTTTTGTTGTAGTTGGAATGTTTTAACGTTTGGCCATGTCTCAGTAGTCTCATGTTCTTGTTGTAGTTGGAATGTTTTAACGTTTGGCCATGTCTCAGTAATAATAATAAATAATGGATTGCATTTATATAGCGCATATCCACTTATGCAATGCTCTATGCGCTTAACATGATACATATTATGGATTTTCAAATCAATTTTAAAGGTACATAGTGTTACATACTCATGCAAACACATATTCACTCACGCACGCACCACACACACATACATACACACATACATACATATGCACATACGCACATACAAACTCACAACGATCTACAGCTTGGATGCATTCTGTCTAATCGAAATATGATGAAAATAGAAATGATTTTAGTTTCTTCTTTAAAATTTCTAGATTTTCTGCTTCTCTGATAGTTTTTGGAAGCCTATTCCAAACAAGTGGGGCAAAATATGAAAAAGAGTGTTGGCCATAATATGATTTGTAATTTATTTTAGGCTTAACAAGGGTTGTTTTGTCACTTGATGATCTGAGCGTTCTAGGAGGTACATAGGGTGTTAAAAACTGTTTTAGATAGTCCGGTGATAAATCATGTAAGCACTTGTAGCAAGTTAAACAGATTTTATATATGATACGCTCTTTCACCGGGAGCCAGTGTAATGCTTTTAAAATAGGAGTCACCTGATCATGCTTTAGTTTTTTTGTAATTATTTTGGCAGCAATATTTTGTACTCTTTGTAGTTGTTGTAACTGTTCATCAGGTACACCAGCCAGTAAGGAATTGCAATAATCAATCCTTGACAATATAAGTGATGTTATTAAAGTTTTGGTGACACCAACAGATAGATATTCTCTAATGCTCCCTATTTTCTTCAGCTGGAGATATAGATTTTTACAAAGATTGGATACATGGGATTTTATTGACATATCTTGATCTAGCACTACACCTAAATTTCTTATTTTAGTTTGGGCTGATATTTCGTGGCCATTGATGTTTATCCTGATATTGTCAGTTTCATTGCATGCGCTGCTACGAAGAAATAATATTTCGGTCTTATCCTCATTTAATTTTAATTTGTTCTTGAACATCCATTTTCTTCTATCATTGATACATCTGGCAATTCTATCTATGAGATTGTGTACATTGTCAGTTGTAGTGAATCCATACAGCTGTGTATCCTCTGCATAAAGATGGTAATTGAGGGCATATAAAGAAATTATTGATGATGACAGACTTTGCGTGTACATTGTAAAGATGACAGGACCAAGGACCGAACCCTGAGGAACTCCGTACTTTAGAGGTAACCTATCAGACACGTCATTGCCAATAGTAGGCTCAAGGAACTAATACAACCTGTAACATTATTTGTGGCTGTGAGACTAGGGCGTGTGGCGTCGGTGGTCTAGTGGTTAGGCTACCGGACTCGTCATTGTGAGGTTGTCGGTGGTCTAGTGGTTAGGCTACCGGACTCGTCATCGTGAGGTTGCGGGTTCGGGGGTTCGAGCCGCCGGACGACGTTGTGTCCTTGGGAAAGACACTTTATACGATTTTTCCTCACTTCACCCAGGTGGGAATGGGTACCCGGCCATAGACAGCGAAAGACCTTGTCAGTATGTTAGTTTTTTAGCACCTTTAAATGGCTGCTTGCACTGTATGCTTCCCAGGAAGTTGAGTTTGTTTCAGAATGCTCTCAGGTCTGCTGGGGTAATAGTATAGATTGTGAAGCGCGTAGAGCTTGCTGTTGAGCGGGGATTAACGCTATACCAATGCTATATATTATTATTATTGTACCCTGTGCTGAGCAGATCAGACTTTTCTGTTGTAGCAGTGGCTCTATCTATAGCTATGGTGTTGAGGGATTGAGAGGAAGCTTTTCTTGCACTGGAGTCCAAGACAATGTCTTTTTTCACCAAGTGTATGCCATTGCCAGAATTTTAGCTACAGCAGTTTCTGCTGCATTTGTTGTTAATGAACTTACAAACATCACTGCCTTGTGAGTGTGTGTTTTTGTGAGTGAGTGTGTGTGTGTGTGTGTGTGTGTGTGTGTGTGTGTGTGTGTGTGTGTGTGTGTGTGTGTGTTGCTTTAAGATAAAGAGCTGCATGACGGTTTTAGGGAAGTGAAAGTGAGACAACAGGTTGAAACGTAATGACTGCTGAAAGGAAGAAGGAATAAGACTATTTTGGCTTTATGTTTTTATTCTTGTCACTCCAAAGTCACTTTGTATAGAGCTATTTATGTGTGTGTGTCTGGCTGCATGTGTATACGTGGGAGGGTGGAAAAGATTTTACCGACTTTGTGAAAGATATTTAAGAATTTTTCTTACTGTCATGAGCTAGATAGGAACATTTCTGTCCTGTCATGAGCTAGATAGGAGTATTTCTGTCCTGTCATGAGCTAGATAGGAGCATTTCTGTCCTGTCATGAGGTAGATAGGAACATTTCTGTCCTGTCATGAGCTAGATAGGAACATTTCTGTCCTGTCATGAGCTAGATAGGAGCATTTCTGTCCTGTCATGAGGTAGATAGGAACATTTCTGTCCTGTCATGAGCTAGATAGGAGCATTTCTGTCCTGTCATGAGCTAGATAGGAACATTTCTGTCCTGTCATGAGCTAGATAGGAACATTTCTGTCCTGTCATGAGCTAGATAGGAGCATTTCTGTCCTGTCATGAGGTAGATAGGAGCATTTCTGTCCTGTCATGAGCGAGACTTGGCCTCTCTCAGTATCCGACAGTTTCATTCGCCAGAGTAAGAGACGATGTCACAAAGATAGGGGAAAGCTTTACGTGTCCCCGTGTGTTTAGTGTGTGCAAACACCTGGCCCCCCTGCTCCTTTAGTTTTTCTTGACAAATGTTCTGTTGCTTTCATATTGAAGTTCACAAAGATTTGGTTCCAAATGTCTCTGTCAAATCGTCAATAATCTGATATTATATTCATGGTTGCCAGTTTTTGTCCATATAGTCGTCTAAATATATACCATGGACTGTCTAGAGGGCTTGTGTTTGTTGTTGTTTGTGTTTGTTGTTGTTTGTGTTTGTTGTTTGTTGTTTGTTGTTTGTGTTTGTTGTTTGTGTTTGTTGTTTGTGTTTGTTGTTTGTTGTTTGTTGTTTGTTGTTTGTTGTTTGTGTTTGTTGTTTGTGTTTGTTGTTTGTTGTTTGTGTTTGTTGTTTGTGTTTGTTGTTTGTTGTTTGTTGTTTGTTGTTTGTTGTTTGTTGTTTGTGTTTGTTGTTTGTGTTTGTTGTTTGTTGTTTGTTGTTTGTGTTTGTTGTTGTTTGTTGTTGTTTGTTGTTTGTTGTTTGTTGTTTGTTGTTTGTGTTTGTTGTTTGTTGTTTGTTGCTTGTGTTTGTTGTTGTTTGTGTTTGTTGTTTGTGTTTGTTGTTTGTTGTTGTTTGTGTTTGTTGTTTGTGTTTGTTGTTTGTTGTTTGTGTTTGTTGTTTGGTTTTCTCCGATTGTAAACAAAAATGTATCAAATGTTGTCATGTTGTAACCACGTATGTATCAAATGTTGTAACGTTGTAACCACGTATGTATCAAATGTTGTCATGTTGTAACCACGTATGTATCAAATGTTGTCATGTTGTAACCACGTATGTATCAAATGTTGTAACGTTGTAACCACGTATGTATCAAATGTTGTCATGTTGTAACCACGTATGTATCAAATGTTGTAACGTTGTAACCACGTATGTATCAAATGTTGTCATGTTGTAACCACGTATGTATCAAATGTTGTAATGTAATTGGCCATGTATGTATCAAATGTTGTAATGTTGTGGCTTTGATCAATTTCCTGGAGCTGAGAACCACAAGGCTGGCAAACTCTTGTTCCAAATGTCCACAACGCAAGCAAGAACAAAGTTTTCTGGGAAATGATGCCTGACATTTTTTAACAGACTGAACTCGGAACTGTTCCTCTGCCTGGTGTCAAGGTCAATTCTTATTTTGTATTTCTGTCAACGGAATCTGAAAAGTGCTTTTCTCCCAAAATAGAGTTCGTTGAGCCGGTGTTGTTCAAGAAAGTTTGTTGTTCATTCACAGAAGACGAATTCAGTCTGTCTCGTGTCTCCATCTCAAACTCTTATTTCGCACTCATATGACCTTATGCAGTGGCGAGCGCCGTAAAAGACTTACCAAAAACTCTTATCCCAGTACTCATTGTCTCCAGTTTGTAAATACAGAATAACATGGATAGGTCGAACACAGAAGACTCGAAATCACGCATCCGTCGAACTGTGCCTGTGGTCCCTTTTTTCTTCTTCTTTATCTTTGTAAGATATCCCTTGAACTTCGGATCCCTTGAACCACCGAGGCCGGTCCCGACGAATTCAAGCTATGTTATACTGTATCTTATTTAATACTGTGTCTCCTAATCCAAACTACAAGTATACGGTCATTTGTTTCTAGACTGTGTATGCCGAGTCCAATATGTTTGTGTTTCCTTGCCCGTGCCACTTTGTATAGATCCCCTCTGCCCACACTGTTATGTTTTATCCTGTTATGTTTTATCCTCGGGCTCATTTTGAGGTCGTAATGCTTAGCTGTGAGAAACATAGATTCTTTTTGCCTAGTGAGTATGGTATGGTATAGTATAAGGTTTTACGGCGCTCGCAACTGCTAAGGTCATATGAGCGCGCTCCTAGTCAGTATTACAAAATGAAGTCAAAATGAATCTATTGCGTGACGGATTGCTCTGTGAGTTGTAACTTGTACA